AAAATATAGAACTAGTTTAAAGGGTCGGTCAACGTTGATACATGGAATAGGACTATGGAATAGTTTGGAAACTGATGTTAAAACAGCTCAGTCAATGTCTGTATTCAAGAAAAAAATTAAGAGTATAATGTTGCAAAGATATATGTAATTTGGTTAATATAAAATGTTTTTAAAATCATTATATTACTATAAGTTGATTATTTGTTTCATGGTTGACTAATGCATGAATTGCATTGATTGTTTAGTTGTTGAAAAATTATTTTCATGAATGACTATTGCTTTAATTGATTGTTTGTATTGATTTTTTGTCTAAGAAGGGGCAGTTATTATAAGATTTTTTCTTCTTCTGCTTCCTTTCATTTTAAATTTTCTTTTCTGTCTTTTTTATCCATATGGATTGTAAATTGTTTTTTCCTGTGTTTTAATTTGAAATGAATAAAATAAATGAAATGAAATGAAAAAATATTTTAATCTTGATGAATGTTGTCTTTCTGTGTTTTTGTTTGGTTGACATTACCTTCCTCCCTTGCCTCTTGGCCCACTCTGCCACTCCTGCCTGCAGCCCGTCCATCTGGGCCACGATGAAGCCGACATGTTTCCACAGAGGACTGGAGCTCTTGTTCAGCTTCACCTGCTCCCTGACCCATGAGTCCTGGTCCCTAGGAAGGCGACACGTCCTCTTTATCCGTTATTCATCATCATGTACACAAATATTTGAGCCACATTCTCCACAGACACATGGTTGAGCTGCTGAAACACAGACTCGTCTTCAAACTTAAATCTGAAAATGTTACCAGCGAAGAACGCTAAAATGTAACCTGCCTTGTTTCTCGTACCTTTTTCTTTCGTTCAAACTTTTATTTATACAGGTTAGTCTCATTGAATCATGGGGACTCATTTACAAGAGAGACCTGTTTTAGACAAAGAACACAGACGAGGTACACACGACAATAAACAACAATTGAATGCAAATAAAGTAAATATTAAAAAAAGTAGTGTTAGAGAATTAAATTAAATCAAGGTGCCATATAAAACAAGGTAAAATACTTAAAAAAAAATTAAAACAGGAACATGTT